AAAAAAAAAAAAGGAAAACCAACAACCCAAACTAAAGAACTGAACAAATAAGAAAAGAAAAGCTGCAACCAAACCTACAAACAAGAGGATCTACTCTGGAAGATAACAAATTTAAATTCTTGCCACTTTAGGACAATGTTACTGACAATCACCGCTTCCTGTATGCTTGTTATCTAAAATACCCACAAATTGCGGGTCTTCCATAGCCACCAAATGATATAAGTAGAAAGTTGAATTATGTTTTTATCAATTTGCGTGTGCCCCAAGGTACAAACCATCCACCACTGATCGGAAAAGCCTACCATCTCGTGCCCTTCTTTAGTCACTGCACTGGAGCTAAGTGCCAACCAACTAAGACATTCCTACAATGCCAAATGAGGTGCTCAACTAATTCCTCCTCTTCACCACACACTTGACAAACCACATCAACCTCAACTCCCACTTACCTAATATTTAATTTAACATGAAGGGTCCCAGAAAGATATCTCCACACAAAATGTTCTAATTGTTCTTTTACCTTTTGTCTCTAAGTCCACTTTTGTACTTGTCTAATAGTAGGGGCAGTGTGGCTATTCTCAGGTTTGTCCAACAAAAGAGCTTAGAACATTTGCCTTTGCAATCCAAACTCCAGTAGAATTTGTCATCCCCAGTTGGACTTAATCCTTTGGTTTGAATAATAGCGGCAGTTGTTTGGTCATCAAAGAGAATCTGAATTAGTCCTCTATTCAAATCCCTTCCACCAATTCTCATAATCTCAAAAACCTAGGCGATGTTGCTTTGGGTTCCCTGCTTGAATTTGACACTCATGCCCTTTAGTCTCTGCACTCGGGAATACTCTAAATTTTTTTAGTTCCTTATGTTCTTAATTTTGACCTCTACTAGCCTGTCAAAAATTTTCTTTACCTACATCCAAGTTTTCCAGAGCCAAGAGCCTTCATGCTTCTTAGTGGTCTCAAACAAAGAGCTAGAGGAAAGTCTCTGGACTTAAGTACTTTGCTAACTAGGCTATGAGGATTAGATAGAAGTCTCCATAGTTGCTACATTATTAGAGGTTCATTAAAAAGCTTTAAATCTTCAAAGCCTAGTCCTTCTAACTTCTTAGGCTGGGCCAATTGATTCCAAGCTTTCCAGTGCAACCCTATCTCTTGATTCTCTCCTTTGGACCTGTTGTTATGTAACGATAATAATATATTATTAGGCTGAAAAGCGTATAAGTTGTTGTATTAATGAAGTGTTATTATGAGTACAAGAAGTCGGTTTTTGCGTGAACCGAGTAAATTTGCATGAACGCATTGAATGTGCGAAAAAAAGGCCCCCGTATAATAACAAATTCTACTATTTATAGCGGATCATGTTTGACTTTGTGTACGATGTAGGTGTGATCGCAATAAATGTAAAGTAGCTTTAGGAAGTGATTTATCGGTCAATAGGCGTACAGTAATGATTGTGATGTGGTGCGTGGTCCAACTTTGTGAGCGCCTTGTCACCTGCTTTGGGTTTCAGCCTTCTCGGACCTCAGTCTAAGGGAAGAATCTTCGAAAAGTCAGTTGTTGTCTTAAATGTGAAGTCGGTCCTTTATTCGACTTCTGTCGAGTTGCATTAAGTTAGACGCATGGGCTGGATTAGGTGATAATCTTGGATTTGCATATATCTTCACTTTTAACCAAGCTAACCAGGTTGGTTGTCAATAGGAACTCAGTTGTTAACATGTACGTTTTTTTGTAACGACACACAGACAGTACAAAGCAAGACATAATGAAAACAAGTAAGGCATTGATCACAGATATGATAAGAACTTCATTGTCGGTCGTGGACAGACATTTGTTTTTCTAGCTAAAGAGTGTTCTTTTTACCGCCTCCAAAACAAAAGAAAATGTATCTCTTTTTTATTTGCTCAATGCCCAAGAGAAGACCAAGATACCTAGTGGATTGGTGGGTTGAAATTTTATCCAAAGTACGATAATATGTCTCAATTATGTTGTTCTTGTTTATAATTAACTCCCTTTTAGCATTGGTATGAAAATTACACTATCAATGAAGTTTATATTCGTCCGTACAAGCTTCAAGAGGCTTAAAACGAAGAAACCCAAAACCTAAAGTCCAATAAGGTGCGGTCATCTAGAGATTGGGTCTGATTGGAATGAGATTCAAAGGGCTTTAATTGCCACCGGTATCTTTGAACTATATATGATGTGAAATGTGTGATTCAACAAGCCACCACAAGGAAAAACCAAAGAAAAGAAAAATAAGGGTTGATCAGTTTATTAAACTCATAATTAGGCTTAATAAAATATTAGAGTGTGATATTACATTACATTTTTTTTTTTTTTTTTTGTATTTTCCCCTTTTGATCCGTGTTAAAAATTCATAAGTATGACTTAAATGATTAATTGTTATGAAGTAACTTTACTTTATTGCCCTTGTTCAAATTTATTATCAGAAAACTCAGAAAAACTTGGACACTGAGTCATAAAAGCAAAAATATAAAATGGAGAAGGATTAGTTAGGATTAGTAACTTTACTTTATTGCTTTAGGTACTCTAAATAAAAATAAAAAATTAGTTCTTCTTGAATCAACACCTGCTGTTTATACTTAAAAAGTCATATCATACATTGTTAACTTTCATACTGTAAGTTATAAGTGAACAATTGGAAATACGAAAAGCTCGATTATGTTGAAATTTTGGGCCCTATTAAATTTAAAGTCCATTTATTCAAATGAAAAATGAAAACTTAAGTAGTCAAATTTATCTGATTCTTGGGCTATTATCATAAGATTATGCTGAATCTAATTGCAACATCCCCAGAAGAGGCCCAATACAAAATTCTCATAGAACGTGTTGATTACATGTTTCATATGCAATTCATTATTGTATCCATAATCACTTACACATTAGTACGTATCACATAAGCTACAGTATCCAAGCCGGTAATTCAGCTTTTACAGCTCAACTTATTAACGAAACGAGTCAGTAAACGAGTTTAAGATGATTAACAAGTTAAACTCAATCCTCAACAAGCCGAATTATAAAAAAATACACATAAACTTATTTTAGAACTTCAACTAGCCGAGCTCACGAGCAAGTCATTTCATTTGAAATAATAATATGCTACACTTCAAAGGTCAAACACACATTATCAATTGCAATTGATCTATAAATGAGCTAGACCACTTGTTTCGTTTTACCAACCAATCAAAGTCTTAGGACTATTTAACTATAAATAATGTCCAGCAAATTTATTAGTGGCCAACAATTAAGGAAAATTCTAGATTTCAAAAGAACCACAAGTGTGTGTTTCATTGCCATGCATTTGTGTCAAATTGTTACTGTTAATGATCATGCGATCTCACTAAAATTATTATTTTTTGCTTGACGTTAACACTATCAAATATTGTGCACATTTTCAACACTTTTAAGGGAAGTTAGTTATAAAATGAAATCATGATCAAAGGTAAATAGCAATTGGTCAAATACTAAATCAAAGAAATTAAAAGCTAAGGAATCAGGAAAATTTGTACCTAGCTAAATAAATATAGAATGAAATTATAACAATTTGACTAAATAATATATTATACAAATATTGTCGAAGGCTAGCTAATTATAGCTGCCATTAAACAATGTATGTATGTATAATTATAAAACCGCGTATCTCTCCTCAAAATCATATCCCTCTAATTATGACACAAATTAAAATTCCTTTGTATCTAAGGTTAGCCAATGTTACACTTGTCACATTATATTATACTATTACTTAATTAATTAAAGCTCCTTGCCTTTTTTTTTTTAATAATAATAATTATATAAAAAGATTGCATTTGTATATACCGTGTTGAATTATGCATATATATCTTCCACAAACTTTATGATATGCCTCGTAATATTGTAGAATTCATGTAAAAATGATAATCTTTAATTAATCTTGTGCAAAACCAACATGTTTTCTATTAAATTAGACTAACAATTAATTAGAACAACACATGTTAACAAATATGCATGTGAATTCGTTAAAAAATCTCATACTACAAAAAAAATAACATAACATAAACAAAATTATAACATTCGATTGTATAAACATGCATTTTTTTACTGAATAATATAAAAAGTCCACTCGACTAACTGTTAGAATGATTTATACAAGAATTTGTTTGAATCACAATTAAACTCCACCTATGTTGTCTCAACATAGCAGGTCTCAAACCCTGGTAAAGGAGGAGGGTTGTGATAGGCTTGGCGAGCCAACGTAAAACCTAGTCATTATATGGAGATGAAACACATTAGATACTCCTTTCTCTTTTGCTCCAATCTTTTTTTTCCACTGTTTCTATTGGGTTTCATCTCTAGCCTACCTCAACTTTTTTGGGACTAAAAGACTTTGTTGTCGTTGTTGTTGTTGTTGTTGTTGTAAGGTGTCATTCATGAATTTCTATACTGACATCGATATTTTACGTGTATTTATTTAATAACATGTGTTAACACTTAATTATTATAGTAATCACACTCGCTAATTACATAGTTAATAACCTAGTATAGGATTAGATAAGATTATTAATCAATCAAAGTCATGAGTTTGATAATTGGAAAATTTGCTTAACACACACACACAAACACATGGAAAAAAAAAAAAAAAAGAAAAGAAACTCCGTGTGCCCCGTCATTAATCACGGACGCGCCAAAATTTTCCACCTCCAATCCACACTCCAATATTTGAAAATACAAAATAAAATAATAAAAAAAAATAACCCATCTCATTAATCCAGATCACGTTGAAAAAAACAAAAGCACGGCTTGTTGTGAGAAACAAGGGCATTCTTGTCATTTCCTGACACGAGATGCAGTCTTGCTGTTGTACCAAAGGCTAAAACAGGTTGTACATTTATCAAGGGGTGCCAACCAAACCACCTCACCCCCCACTACACGTAATGGTTGGTTGACGCAAATTTTGTTAATTGACCCCTTTTTTGCTTCTTCTTTTCTTCCATCTTCATGAACTCTGCATGTTATTCTGTTTACAGTTCATTTTTCATTTTTTTATTTTTTATTTTTAATTAATTTAATTAATAATAATTACTGTTTTTTTTCCACCATTTTCTCCACTCAACCCACCTGTATTTAAGTCATCATCCCTTCACAATCCTCTGTGTGCTCACAGAGTTTCTCTAACTCAATACAATACATACAAAATCTGAGTTCTTCTTCTTCTTCTTCAGTTTTCTGCCAAAAAAATTCAATCTTTAGGAGTTCTGTGCCATAAAAATTCTATCTTTAGGAGTTTTGTGACATAAAAAACCAATCTTTAAGAGAAAAAAAAACAAAAACAAAAAAGAATGTGGAAATTTGCTTTGATTACCATATTCTTTTGTGGTCTCACAGTTGTGTGTGGTGAAAACCCTTACAAGTTTTATACTTGGAATGTAACTTATGGTGATATTTACCCTTTGGGCGTTCGTCAACGGGTCTGTAATTAATTCATCTTCTTCAACTGATTTTGCATTTTTTTTTTTATTTGAACATTCTTGAGCCGACCCTGACTTGCTTGGGACTAAAAGGCTATGTTGTTGTTGTTGTTTGAATATTCTTGTACTTATTTAGTGTATGTGTGTCTGAGTGCAGGGGATTCTGATAAACGGGCAATTTCCTGGGCCCGAAATAGAGGCTGTTACAAACGATAACATTATAATCAACGTGTTCAACAATCTGGACGAGCCCTTCCTTCTCTCATGGTAATTAACTAGTTTGCTTGTTCAGCTTTAATGTATTTGAGAGGTTGGATTATGAAGAACTAATTCCCATTTAAATGTCTCTTCATGAATCTTCTTCGATATTCATGTAATTTTATGAAAATGTGAGCAAATGTAAGAAAAGAGAGAAGAATTTGATGATATTATTGGATGAAACTGCAGGCAAGGGATACAGCACAGAAAGAACTCATTTCAAGACGGTGTGTACGGGACGAATTGTCCGATTCCTCCGGGCAAAAACTACACGTACGCGCTGCAAATGAAGGATCAAATCGGAAGCTTCTTCTATTTCCCATCTCTCGGTTTTCAAAAAGCTGCCGGAGGTTTTGGCGGGATTCGCATTCTCAGTCGACCCCAAATCCCGGTCCCCTTCCCTCCACCTGAAGATGACTTCATGGTTGTCATTGGCGACTGGTACAAATCAGATCACAAGGTATATTTAATTCTCTACCATATAAAAAAAAAAAAAAAAAAAAAAAAAAAAAAAAAAAGAAAAGAAACAATGTGTATTTATCATTGTATTGCATGTTCTAAGTTATATATGTTTTTGTTGAATGGTACTATGGTTGCATGCATTTGAATCATTATACGATTAGAGTTCTGTTTTACTAGTCGATTAGTTGAATTTGTCGAGAGAGTTGCGACTAATGATTCTTGTCGTGAAAATTTGCAGCGTTTGAGGTCTGTTTTGGAGCAAGGCAAGATGATTCTTCCCCCTGACGGCGTCCTCATCAACGGCCGATCCAAAGATTCAAATTTCATAGTCAAACCAGGTAGTTTTCTTCAATACATTGTCTTATTCATCTTTGTGTTATTTCTTTCAATATATATCATCGATATAATCGATTTTTTTTTTTTCCCAGGGAAAACATACCGGTTTAGGATAGTGAACGTGGGCGCAAAAAACTCACTAAACTTTCAGATTCAAAACCACACAATGAAGCTCGTTGAGGTGGAAGGCACGCACACGGTACAGAACGAGTACGACTCACTAGACGTCCACGTAGGACAATCGTACTCAGTCCTCGTCACAGCCGACCAAAGCGCCGACAAAAGCTATCGCATAGTAGTATCCTCCCGTTTTTCGTTCGAAAACCTCAATGCCACTGCTATACTTCAATATGGAACCCAACCGAAGCCCCTTTTTTCTAGTCCTTTGCCTCCCGTGCCCACCGGTGTGGACTGGTCGCTCGCGCAGGCCCGTTCAATCAGGACTAATTTGACAGCTAGTGGGCCCAGGCCGAACCCTCAAGGCTCTTACCACTATGGAAAAATCAACCTGACCCGAACGATCAGGTTATTGAGCTCGGGAGCACAAGTTAACGGCAAACAGCGGTACGCACTTAACGGGGTCTCGTTTGTCCCGGGCGATACTCCCCTGAAGCTGGCAGATTATTACAACATATCGGGAGTTTTTACTGTCGGGAGCATTCCAGACAGACCCCCTAAAGGCAAACGTGATGTCCAGCTCAAGACTTCGGTTATGGGAGCTGATTACAGAGCTTTCATCGAGATTATCTTGGAGAACAATGATAAGATCATGCACACTTATCATCTTGATGGCTATGCCTTCTTTGTAGTTGGGTGAGTGAATTGAAGAATAACATTTCACTTTTATATTTTTTCTTTTTTTTTTTTAAAAAAAAAGAATTTTGTTTGATGGTTTAATATATTTGGTTGCAGAATGGACAAAGGCAAGTGGAAGCCTGAAAGCCGAGGACAGTACAATCTCAATGACGCCATTTCCCGCTCGACTGTACAGGTAAAATGAACAGAAAAAAAGGAAAATTAAGAAACATGAGTAACTATGTATGATGTTTTATTCTGCTTAATAAAAACTTGCTGAAACTTTCGATTAATGAATGTTGCGGTTAACGAAACACAGGTTTATGCGAAGTCATGGACAGCAATCTATGTGGCACTTGACAATGTGGGAATGTGGAACTTTAGGAGTGAGTATTTGGCAAGGCAGTATCTGGGCCAGCAGTTTTACTTACGTGTTTACTCGGAGATTAAATCTTATAGGGATGAATACGACATTCCGAGAAATGCTCTACTCTGTGGGAGGGCTGCAGGAAGAAGCTCGTAAAACTGCAGAAACTTAGCGCCATTTCACGTGCATACGCCTGAAAAAGTACACGGAATTCTTTTGTGTCTCTATAGAATAAAGGAAAGGAAATAGAAAAACAAAAAGAGTCTTTTTTTTTTTTTTTTT